AAACATCTGACAGAGAGAGAAAGTAAAATGCGGGATCAGACAGGAGGAAATAATTACCCCCCTCTCGTTGACAATAGAGCCTGATTTACACCTCTCCAATTAAAGTGTCAGGATTGTCCCACTAGAGCAATGGAGTTTTTTTTTTATTGGGCCTGATTGCATGCTCATCACTGGTGAAGAAGAAGAATGGAAAGATGTGGGTGAGAGCAAAAAAGAGAAGAGATGTAACCTTTACTATCCCACCAGCAGAGCTTCAACAGTAAATTAACTTAATAACCGTGGTGAACAGTAGAGCGTGTATCCAGGCGACACAGCAGACAGGTGTAATGTCTGACAGGAGGCATAATTATACCGAACTGTGTCTTACAATAAGTGATTACAGCTCCTCAGGAAAAAAGATGTTTTCCAGGTTTATTCCAAAACGATTCGTCTCAAGTCTCGCTCAAGCAGCATCCAACCCACAGAGTCTTTGTTACACAAATCACAGCTGGTGAAGTTTTCACTTCTGGATGTTTTACCCATGCACACATACACACACCTTTGAGTAAGCTGTCCCCTGTTAGCACTGCAGCTGCTACACGTTTGTCACACTGGCGTTCTATGAGCAGGCCCTGCAGTGCTCCTCGCCATATCACATACAGTATCTGCACTTGGTAAGATGCTGTCTAGTCACGGGATCAACAGGCACATACACATACATATACTATTTAGTCATAGTAACATTTCATTTTGGGTCACTGCTCACACGTCTTTCATGGCTTTGGCCCAAGTCTGCCTTTGAAATACATGAACTAAACAAAGTGAATTTATTTTCTATAAAGCTAAAAAATGCAGAAAGCTCACAAGTTTGTTAGCCTTGAAAAGTTCAGCCTGACCATGGTTCTTTTGTGGTTTGCATGTTTCTGAGGTTTACAATTTCCCCCAAATCAGTGAGAAAGTGATCACAGGGTTCAAAGGTTTGGTAGGACTACAACTAACATATATTATTATTATTATCAATTAATTAGATGTTGCCCTGATTTACTGACTGAAAGAAAAAAGGCCATCATCATTTCCCAGAGCATAAGGTGATACTTTCAGATGACTTGCTTTGTTCAAGCAAAAGCAGTAAGTCAGCATTTTTAAGAAGCTGGAATCTGTAAATGTTCCATGTTTTCTCATTAACTAATACTGTCATGCTTTCTGTGCTATCCTGATGGTTATGGAGGTGAAGCCAATGATAGGCCATGACAAGGGGATTCCCAGTTATACTGACATTTACTGGGCAGTTTGTTGTACACTTACCAAAGTAACAGGGTCCAGGTTATTAGCAGTTGGAATATGGTTCACCTCTTCGTTTGGGCTGTCTCTGATGTCTGTCCCGGGCACAGAGGACTGTTCTACTCTGCATCCATGGAGATAGACAGACAGCAGACAACTGTTTTTGATAAACTCACTTTTGCTACCATGCCCACAAACCACACAAATCACATTGCCTGAAAGCTTTGTAACATGAGTGAAATAGCTGTGCCTGATATGATTTTCAACAAAATGTTCAATTATACTATTAAAATACCTTAAAATTACATCTGCATTCTCCTTTACTGATGCAGAACCTAGTCATAACTTACAGATATTTTTCATTTCTGTTGACAGGTCTACTCTGACTGAGTTTAATGAAATATCCAACATTGTCCAAGAGCTTTTTCTTAAAATAAAGCTCCATTAAATCCACAACTTGTGAAGAGGGCAGTCCACGCATTCCAGGCAATGCAACATCGCTAGAAATCTGAAGTGGTTGCTTGATTATGATTACTGAAACACAGAGGAAGGCAAGCAGGGTGTCATTTTACATCCTGCTGTGTGACTGAATCTACAGCTGACTGGTGTGATGCACATGTTTCTTCTAGAAATCAAACCAGATTAGTTTTCCCATCAGGGCAGCTGCTCTGACTTTACATATGTTTACTCCATCTGGGGCTGATGCTTCTGGAAAAACAAAAAGGCAGACTAATGAATAATGGGACTGCTAATTAGCCGCTGAGCACCAAAAGACAGATTTGATAAATGCTAAACATAAAAAGGCGACATCCTTCACTTTCAACAGCTCACTCAGACACTAATCGAAAGGTTTTAAGTGAGGGACTGTGTCAGTCAACCCTCCATGTCAGAAATCTGCCTGCACCTCTTTCTTTGTGTCTGAAGTTGTCAGCTGGAATCCCTACATTAATGGACAAGTACAGTGCTGTGAAGCGACGGGATACACACGACTCTTTGCTCTGTAATTTGGAGTGATTGGGGTGTAAAAGTAAGGCGGAGTGTGACTTTCTCTGCTACAACATGATTGCCATGCTACAGAAACCGAAGGTCCAGCACAGATCAGAAGGAAAGCATTAAGATGAAAAGCGAGAGGACGGACAAGTTGGTGATGAGCTAAGGACAGAAAGCAATTAGAAAACTCATTAAAGTGACTCATTTGTCTACAAACATTTCTTCCAGTGAAAACACAGCCAGACTCATGTGCTGCTACTTTGGTATGGATCTAAAGGATATAGAATTTTATTATTATCATCATTTCCCATTTTCCACAATTTCTTAAACAAAGGAAAAACTAAACCAAGAGGGGACCCTTATAAACCTGGCTCAATCAAACAGGAGCTTTAAATACATACCTTATAATTAAAACAGATTTTTAATTTAGGATTTTAGGTTAAATTAACACAATAATAATGCAGCAATAACATATGTAAGCAAGAGTTGCATCTACTAGAACATAAGGAAAAAACTTACCAAATGTTTGCATTGTTTCCAGCCTTACCTCACCTGGTATAACCCAGATCCCCAAATCCAGATGAACTGGGCTTGTTTGTATGAAACACCTGAAAATGGGAGCAACTAAAAACAATTAAAAGTATAAATATTTTATGCTTAGGAAAAATGAAGAGGAAAGTGTTGTTCCTGAACAGGAAATTGAGTGCCATAGCTTGAAAATGGCCAGCGGGGAGTTCGTCCGTCCCTGTTTTATCTGACTCTCACATACTGTACATCTCCTCTCCCATTATTCCTGTCTACCTCACTTCCATCTCAGTGGGTGAGGAAATAAATCAAGTTAAAAGTTCTCTACCCGAGGCATTAACTTCCATAGGTGAACTAATGGAATCTGGTTATGATTTATCTCACTTCCTGCTTCTTGTGTATACTGAACATGCCACTGAGCTCTACAGTTCAACACGGAGGTCTTAATCAATTTAACAGACTCAGAACACCATCCACATCAACAGCTTTATTAGTCCGTCTAATAAACCTAATGAACACACACACAAAACAATCACTGCTGTGGTAGCTGTGGTTTTATTGGAGGCAGCTTTACAAGCCTCATGTTGGACGTTTATATTGATTACTGGTCTCTAAGTAATTTTCTCTGTATATGGCAAAGCTCCGCAATGATATTTTCTTGATGCATGCTTTTGATTTCCTGACACATTCTTGAGGTTGAAGTGCTTTAAATCATCCATCTTTAGGGATCAGCAACAACGCTTCCAAAAGATTACGTGCAGTTTTAGGTTTCCCCTGGACAAGCTTCCAAGCTAGAGAAACAATGTTTTCTCCACATTGCGTGAGGCTGTATCATACCTTTATGAAGTGAAATTATTCAGTACACCTCCTTTTCATGTCTGCATCATTACATCACATATCACAAAAGAAAAAAAAAAATCAAGCCGTCTTGTACATAATTTCAAACTGCTGACACTGGTGGTATTTTGGAAACTTTGAAATCTTCTCTGATGTTCGTGCAGTAGTAGAAATATGACAAACCCACAGTAGTAGAAATATGACAAACCCACTGGTGTAAAATGTAGCTAAACTGATAATACAATTCATAAGACAACAGAAACTGAAATAGAGCAGGTTTTTGTCAAATTAGCCTTTCATAAGGCTGGACAGTGTTCAAACGAGCAGCAGAGGAACAGGCCTGTGTAGCAGGGATTTTGAGAAAAGTGAAATTGAAAAGTGCTGTGAGACCAGTGTTGGGTATGTGGATATTTGGCTCATAGTCTGGATAAGCTGATCACTTTGGAATTAAACACAATGAGACAACTGGCCCTAGAGATTCAGATTTTGGAACAAGTGATTGGACTCGCGCAAGCAACAGCTGCTTGGAGGAGAGTCTTGGAAGCAAATCCCTGGATCTGCAGGGCGGTGGAAATACTGTAAACATAACAGTTTTGAAAAGGGCTGTTGGAAAGGTGAAAATGTTGAGTATCATTTCAGCTTGTTGAATATCTGATGATAGTTACTGAGGCGGTCGTGGAGTTGGGCCTGAGACAACAGCTTGGAAGGGATTCAGTCCAAAGAGGAGATTTAAATTTGAGTACAAAACACAGGGCATGTAGGCCAGCTGAGACAGCAAGAGTGCAGTCCAGATTGTCGCTTGAAGAAGTTGCCGGCTAACCTTAGAAAACAGAAGTATGCTTGGAGGTTATGGGGTTGTCATATGTACTGTAGGGTGCAACAAGCAGCAAGTGGAGTGGAGCCAATCACTCATACAGGCTTCAGAGGAATACGAGAAGTGGCAACACCAAAACAGTGATGGCTAAAGAAGAGTGCGGCTCTGCATGTAGGGAGCCCCAGCAATCCTGAGAACACAGGATGATCACTTAGATTTAATCCAGAGGGAAGAAACCACCTCCTTGATGTTGAAGAAGACAGCAACCAATTTTACTCCATGTTGTGTTGATAGATAGTGCAGTCTTAGAGGATTTCCTGAGCAGATGGCAGGATGTTAAGATCAGGGAAAAGCTTTAGAATCGAGAAAATTAGGCCTGTCAGGTCAATGATAAGTCTTTCCTTCTCTACTGGCAATGTTTCTGCCACGGCTGGCTTAATACACAAAACAGTGCTGCTGAATGAGGCAGACTGTTTTCAGGAGTTCTATATGTGTGTTGAAAAATGAGCACAGGTGAGGTGCCCTTTGGTTGGCTGGTAATAAAAGGTGACTTTGCACCCCTTTCGATTTCAATACACAGTAGGTTACAAGATGCATTCGTTTCCGCTCACATGCATGAGTGCAGTCTACAACTTGACTCAATTTTGACTTGAACTTGACGTGCATGAACTTGAATTTTGACACTGAACCAAAAGAAATGGTTATAATGGTGCGTGACTGGAAGTGAATGCAGGAAAAGAAAGTCAAGGCAATGAGATGATGAGCGTAGCAGCAAAACAGACTTGAAGATTGAGCTGTGTAAGATGGCACATTAAGATGCTTCCACCCATCCAGCTTTGCATTCTCATTCAACATCATCATCACGGAGGTGCATCCATTCCATTTTGGCCCGTCAGCTACAGCTCATTAACTTGTCATGCCGGGTCCCATCTTGTTATTGTGCCTTCTGCTGTACTTTATTGAATTTCACCCCTCATTTCCCTGAATTGTCACTGTGTCTATCGTCCTCCATCTCTCTGCCTCTCTTTATTTTATTTATTTATTTTACAGTGACAATACTATCAGACGTGCATGCAGGTTGTTTCAAACATAAAACATCCCTGCATCTTGAAGTACCCTAGACAAACAAGTGAGCATAGAAGACAACACTTGGAAACTTAATAAAGTAATGCACCTCACTGTTTGAAGAAGAATCAGATGGTAGGAAAAGTTCATTTTTCTTATTTTATTTTACATTCTGTCACATCAGATTAGCCTCCAATTAAAGTCTCAGACTAGTGAGACAAATATTTGCTTCCACAGTGATTACTTTGAGACTAAACACTCTCAGAGACCAATACAAATGGGATATCACATATCATTTGGAGAAAATCCTCAAATGGGAAATCAAATAAAACCTTTTCCACCCCAGCGCCATTTATCATTATTTACGTGACTTCGGGACAGTTCAGGATGGAGCCAGAGATAAACGACTGCCCGAGAGGCCACTGAAATTTGTTTAATCTTCTTCATCTGAATTCCATTAATCTGACTGTCATTGTGGATCACAGCTATGAGTTTAGATCTCCAAGCAACTCTCCTCTGCAGGAATTTCAATTAGGTTGAGAGGGGGATTCTCCATGGAGCTTTTCTTGTCAATCAACTCAGGACAACCAGGTTACTCAATAGTTGCCACTGGTTAGATGTAGTTGATGCCAGTAAATATTTTGTGGATGTTCCCAACTTTACGGAGACCACGTCAGTGTCAGGTCAGAATGGTGATGATTTTCCAACTGAGCCGTCACTGATGCTCAGGGATCAGCTACCTATGAGTTCAGATGAGGAATCTGGGTGTACTAAGATAGTGGCTAGTGTTGAGTTGAGGATCAGGTTGCAGAAGCATGCTGGTTAAAAAAAAAAACCCCAGACTGGCTAATGTAGGTGTTTGAGATAAAGGCTGTGAGGGTGAAA